GAGGTGGTGGACTCTCCATCCTTAGAGGTTTTTAAGGCCCGGCTTGACAAAGCCCTGGCTGTGATGATTTAGCTGGCGTTGGTCCTGCTTTGAGCAAGGGGTTGGACTAGATGACTGTAATGATGCTGCCTTTGGTGGCCCACTTCTGAGAGTACCAATTCAGGACAAATTGCTTAGAGCAGGGCAGTTACGGCTCAAGGCTGGGGTTCCTTTGCACACCAAGGCAAACCAAACCAGCAAAACAGAGTAGATTTCAGTTTTACCCCACTGGCTAACCATAAGTCACACAAGCAATTCCCTTTGACACTCCAGTTTCCCAGCATCACTACCAGTGCCACTCGTTATGGGGACGAATGGTTATGAAAACCAATGCCCCAGCAAAAGAAAAAACGGTTCTCTTGATCCCAAAGGACCAGGCCCAGGTCAATATACAAGACAGAACTTACCCACAAATCACGCTGTTGCTAATCCTCTAGAATCTAAAATCTAAAGGTTTATTTATAGAAGGAAAAAGATATAGATGAGAGCTAGAATTGGTTAAATGGAATTAATTATATACTGTAATTGCAAAGTTCTTGGTTCAGGCTTGTAGCAGTGATGGAATAAACTGCAGGCACAAATCAAGTCTCTGGAGTACGTCCACAGCTGGGATGGATCATTCAGTCCTTTGTTCAGAGCTTCAGTTTGTAGCCAAGTCCCTCCAGGGGCGAGAAGCAGGATTGAAGACAAGATGGAGATGAGGCAGCTGCCTTTTATAGTCTCTTCCAGGTGGAAGCACACCTTTGTTCTTCTGTACAAGATCACAGCAAGAGGGAGTTTGGAGTCACATGGGCAAGTCACATGTCCATGCATGACTCAGTTCTTTACAGGCTGACGCCATTGTTTACATGTTAGTTTGAATGTTGCCAGGAAAGCTCAGATGTGGATTGGCGTCTTGCAAAGTCCATTGTTAGTTAAGTGTTTTTTGACTGGGCACTTACTGAAGAAGCTGACCAACTGCTTCACTGAGGCTACTTAGAATCAAAACACACTGATATACAAGTACATAGCCAATATTCATTACTTCAACTACAAAAATGATACACCTATACAGATAGCATAATCATCATCAGCAAATCATAACCTTTCCATAGACATCTTACACAACAACCTTTGTACAATATTTGCTGCAAATATATAACAGTGGTTGCAGCAATAATCTATATGGTCACAGGTTATGTCAGTAACGTCACAATGACCTCCTGAGGTCTCTTCCAGTCCTAATCTTCTATGATTCTATGATAATACAATCCTTGGATACAGAAACAAGGGAATCTTGAGTAGGAGTAGAGAGGTTATTTTATCTCTGTATTTGGTCCTGGTACTCCTAGAACATTGTGTCCGGTTCTGATGTCCACAAATCAAGAAGGATGCTGAAAAATTGGAAAGGGTTCAGAGAAGAGCCACGAGAATTAGTAAAAGATTAGAAAATAAGATGCAAGGAGCTCAATCTATGTAGCTAATCAAAAGCAAGGTTATGGGGTGACTTGATCACAGTTTGTAAGTACTTACAGGGGAAACAAATATTTGATAATTGGCTCTTCATTCCAGCAGACAAAGGTACAAAAGGATCCAATGGCTCGAAGTAGAAGCTAGGCAAATTCAGACTGGAAATAAGGTGTTACTTTCTAACAGTGAGGGTAATTAATCACTGGATTTTCCCAGCGCTGTCTTGGATTCTCCATCACTAGGAATTTTTCAATTAAGATTATATTTGTTTTTCTAAAGGACATGCTATAGTTTAAACAGAAATTATTGTGGGGAAGGTCTATTGCCTATGTTATTCAGGAGGTCAGACTGAGCGTTGAGGAGCTTCATGGAACTGCCTCCTAAACAAATGATTGCTATTGATGACTTCTAGCAATGAATTCCATAGGCGGTATTCTCTCATTCTCATTACACATTATGGAGCAGGGTAAAAGGAATAAATTTCACTATAACTGTCATAACGACATATATTGAACAAAATCCTCTTACTTTTCTCCTTTCTAGACGAAATAATCCTAGTTTGTGCATCTCTCATCATGTGTGTATGTAAGTACACATGCACACACACACTCTCATTCACTGCCTCTAACAGTCTTCATTTCCCTTCTCTGGAACTTCTCAATTTCAGGTAGATCTTTTCCCAACCATCACTTATCTCACTTCTTAGCTTTGTGCCTTTTTATTATGGTCTTTTAAGGTAAAGAGTGTTAATTGCTTACATTTTCTAGAGTTACCAAGATTTTTTTTTTCACTACATAAATGCATAGCACATATTGGGATGAATACATTATGGACAGAACAGTCATCAAAGCCACATGCAACATTGCACTTGTATAGTCCATCCCACCAAAATAACCATCCCTTTTATACTAAACTACATCTACTGCTTGAAAAATATATAATATTGAACTTCTTGGCTTCAAACTCCAGACCCTTTATTTCAATCTGTGCTTACAATTTCTAGGATGTTCTTTTCAGGATCATTTCTTAAGACAAACGTGGTTGACGAACAACTAATCAAAGTTTAATTTGAAACTATGTGTCCTATTATCTGCTGATTAGACAGATAATGGACAATTCATTACAACATGTTTTTGATCTTTTGTCCTGATCAAATGTAGATTTGTTCAAAGGCTAACCAAAACACTCCATAATTATTCTGCTACTAAATTATAATTTGGAATGACAGCACATCTAAGAGAAAGACATGCTACATTCTGGGCAACATGCAAATAGAAAACAAAACACTGACTTATAAAGTAAGCAATATTTGTTTCCATGGGATCAGACATTTCTCTGATCACAAGCATTTCCCATTTTCAGGGGGAGTTCAGCCACCTATTTGAAAAAAATTGCTGGTCAACAAGAATGGCACTTACTCATTAAAAATATTTTATAGTATTTATACACCGTATTCAGAATTTGATCAAAAGAAGCAAATCTTTTGCTCTCCATAGCATACTGTTTGGATCAAAATGTATTTTCTATTACATAGTTAAACCATCTAGTCCAACAACCTACAGTTCACTGGGAGTTAAGTCTTGATAAATGGCTGAGTGCTCCAAGTTCCGTCAATGTGAACAAAGAGCTTTGATCTCTCATTTTTGTGGTGGTCTTTGTGATGTGTTGCATGTGCCCTACTGTATTAATAGCACTGATATGTCAAGATTTTTCTACTATGAAGATTGCCTGTAATATTCAAAAAAAGGTATAATTAACCGCTAGATTCAGAGAATTGAATAAAAGGAAGCCAGATATCTTAGTACCTGTTGACTAAGTATTTGTCAGGTTAAGTTTTCCATAACCATTCCCAGATTTTCTTATGCCATGGTTCTTAAACTTCTTGGAAAGGGAATTATGGACATATTCAATGCTTAATCTTCCTCTGCTTCCTGCAAAGCTGAGTCCCAAACTCCTCCTCTATACTTTGCCATTGATAAGCCTCTTGATCCACCTCAGAATTCTCTGCTTGTTTCAATTTTAACAGAGTCCCAGGGACTGAAGCGCTTTCCCCCATATTTAGTTTTCAGATACTAACATTCTTGCTTTGCTAGATAAAAATGAATTTAAAATGGAAAGCCTCATTTAGATCAAGCTTTCTTTAATTCTCTGTCTTCCCTATTTCTCTTCTCTGCTTCAAAGTAACCGCTGAAAAATCTTGAAAGACTTGAATTTTTTCTCCTTGGAGAAAAGGTTTTTTTTTTTGTGCTTTTGCCGTTCTCATAAGAGACACTTTCTGCTGATAATTAATAAGATGCAGCACTATGTCTTGGGGGCAGAGAAGATGGGGTTCTGTGTATTGTCAATTACTACTTCTGAGGCTTTCAAAAATAGTTTACCAACGCAGTAAAGAGATTGTTAAAATGATCTAATCTGATCTGCATAAGCAGGGCATAGAATTACAGTCAGTGGAGGAAAAACATTTTTTTCTATGTTCTAAGGGCTCCCTCCCCATCCCATAGTCTAATATAGTGGTTCTCAACCAGGGCTACGCATACTCCCTGGGGGTACGCAGAGGTCTTCCAGGGGGTACATCAACTCTTCTAGATATTTGCCTAGTTTGACAATAGGCTACATATACAGCATTAGCAAAGTCAGTACAAACTAAAATTTCACATAGACACTTATTTATACTGCTCTATACACTATACATGAAATGTAAGTACAATATTCAAATTGATTTATAATTATATGGTAAAGATTAGAAAGGAAGCAATTTTTCAGTAACAGTGTGCTGTGACACTTTAGTATTTTTATGTCTGATCTTGTAAGCAAGTAGTTTTTAAGTGAGGTTTAACTTGGGGTATGCAAGACAAATCAGACTCCTGAAAGGGGTACAGTAGTCTGGAAAGGTTGAGAGCCACTGGAACAATATGACTTCCCTTAGCACCTCATCCCCTGCTCCACCAAACACTGAAATTATATCTGTACCCTCTATTCTCAATAACACCTAGTTTAAAGAGTCAACGCTTGCTCTGACTTTTCTAGGTGTTTGATCTTAGGACCTGAAGGTTCAGGACTGCAACAGAAGTCTCCCCCAATTCCAACCTCCACAATACTCATAGCCATCTCAAAGAATTGCAGTAAAAGCTAGGATAATGGCAAAATAAGGCAGAGACTTTAAAAAGCTGCTTTGTTTGCAGTTCTGGAGGGAAGTTCTGGTTGGAAAGCAATTCTTTCTGTTCATGTTCCTATACTGTGCTCATCACCGTGGTATCTGAGTGCCTTCCAGTAATGCATTAACTAAGCAATATAACTAACATTTGTCATGTATTTGTTCTCTTTCCTTCTCCCTAGGAGGAGTGTGTGCATTGGAGTGTCTTATATTGGTAGGTGTGGTTTTAGGTTTTTTTTGGATGGTTAAATCACAGTGCCCTCCGACCCGTCTGGTGATACTGTGTATTATTTGTTTTGCATTAGCACCAGGAACCCATTGTGCTAGGCACTGAACAAACAGAGTTTGTAATCTGCCTTTACCATTTGCACAGAAAGAGACACAGCCAACCAGCATGGACTGGAGAAAGAGGTCAGGAACCAGAAAGAATAACACTGTTTGAACTCTTTTTCTTTTGGTGCTACTGACCTCTGTTTTGTTAACTTTATAATATCCTGTGGTGTATTTACCACAAGGAGCACTGGATAAATGAGTTTAAACATTCCAAAGTGTATTTGGTCTTTGAAGAAGGATGGGAACAATGCACTCAAAAATCTAAACAAGTATGTTTTTATTCAGTTTTAGGCTCACGCAGTTCTAAACAGTAAACCTAATTAACAATACATCCACGGTACCAAAGAATGTAGCTCTGGTATCAGTAGAAATGTCTACTGTTCAAGGCACTGATATTGGTAAGAAAAAGTTACATTATGTTGGTTACACCTATATCAACATTCTTTTAAACCACTATGAATGTGAGCACTGTTCAAATGCTTAAAAATCCACAAGCTACGTTCACAAAAGGTGCATACTTCTCAGTGATTACCGAATTACTTCCCCATTTAGACTTGGAGTAAGTATTGCATTACTTTGGAACTGAAACAAGTGCTGAACTACAGAAAATATTGTAAGATGTGTACAAATAAACAATTTCAGTAATATGGCTTTAAGACCCTGCATTTGGTTACAACATAGCAAGCAAAGTTAGATAACAGCATATATACACGATATGCTGTTGTCTTAAAAGGAAAAAATCCTTTACTGTATAAAAATTAGTTTAGAACATACTAAAGCCAGATTTTATTCAAATATCTTTACAAAACTGAATTATACATAGAAAACAAACAAAGTCAAATATGCAGCACTCTTTACATGTTAATATTATATGCATTATATTACTTAGTTGTATTTTTTTACTATGTATACTGCAGATGATATAAATTGTGGATGTTACAAACTAATTTTTAGCTTGGCACTTAGACACTATGGTGATATGCACATTATAAATATCTAAACATTAGATTTTCAAAATTCCTTAAGAGACAAACATTTATATTTGCCAAAGATAGAAACTGTCACCTAGGTTTTTTTTAATGAATCATGGCAACATCTTGTAATCAGTTTAAGAATCCCAGACCTTCCTTTGGATCTGTCCCATGCATCCGCAACATCTCTATTTAGAAACTATACAAAGCACAGTACATGATATTTTCCTTCCAGACCACTGTTTGTTAGAACAGTCACACCTCCCTACCCTTTCATTACCTAAGGCCTGATTCTGACTGATTTCAAGAACCCAGAAGTTCCTCTGAAGTCATTGGGAAGTGTAGGTATTCAGTACCTTTTAGAATTAGGCCCCTAAATATAGAACTTAGGCCACTATTAAACAGTGAAGAAAAGAGAAATGTGAATTGCTGGTGTTTGATAGAGAATTCCAAAAGGGAACACACACAAATACTGTATACAACGTTTAAAATGTTAAATACAATGGTCACAAGATTCAAAACTCAAGGTATTTCCAACAATAAATCCTCAAACCACACACACACACACACACACACACACACACACACACACACACACTCTCAAGCTGGTTCCCTCTTCCTTTTCTAGCAAGTGTAACACGTAATGGATTGAAACATTTAGGGTTCTATGCAATATGGCAGACAAGTAGTACAACACAACACCAAAACTACAGTACAGCCTGTCTCTCACTAATCTGCAGTACATTATTGAGATTTAAAATATTTTATATATTATAAATCTTCCCTAATACGTCTCTGTTTCTTTTCAGTAAATGAATCTTCCATCTTTGGTGCCAGCCATGTGAAATACACCTTCACGGGATCAATGTTCCAATGCTTGTGAAATGATATTGGAATTTGGTGAGCAAGGTAGTCCTTTGGATAGTCCATTGGTCTTGCCTAAGATGGGAGGATAAAACAAAAATGCTAGTTCTCACCGGTTTAAAAAATGTTTTAGAACAGTAAAGTGAATTTTGGATAAAGAATCATCACTAAATAGACTTCTCATCTCAAATGTTTTGACATCAGTAATATAGTATTACTGTAAAATATTCCATAATGATTGCAGTCATTTTTACATAGTACTATTAAACTGACTGGCTTGCATTAATCTATATTCATGTATCTGTCTTTTAAGGACTACAATCATCATGGTGTTTGAGTCCTACTACTCAGCTAGACAAGGTTATAACTAGGGTTGTCAAGTGATTAAAAAAATTAATTGCGCTGTTAATAATAGAATACCATTTATTTAAATATTTTGGGTGTTTTCTACATTTTCAAATATATTGATTTCAATTACAACACTATACAAAGTGTATAGTGTTCACTTTATATTTTTTATTACAAATATTTGCATTGTAAAAAACAAAAGAAATAGTATTTTTCAATTCACCTAATACAAGTATTGTAGTGCAATCTCTTTATCATGAAAGTTGAACGTGCAAATGTAGAATTATGTACAAAAAATAACTGCATTCAAAATAAAACAATGGAAAACTTTAGAGCCTATGAGTACACTCAGTCCTACTTCTTGTTCAGCCAATTGCTCAGACAAACAAGTTTGTTTACATTTGCAGCAGATAATGCTGCCTGCTTCTTGTTTACAATGTCACCTGAAAGTGAGAACAGGCATTTGTGTAGCACTGTTGTAGCCAGTGTCACAAGATATTTACATGCCAGATGCACTGAAGATTCCTATGTCCCTTCATGCTTCAACCACTATTCCAGAGGACATGTGTCCATGCTGATGACTGGTTTTGCTCAATAACAATCCAAAGAAGTGCAGACCGATGCATGTTCATTTTTATCATCTAAGTGAGGTGCCTCCAGCAGAAGGCTGATTTTCTTTTTTGGTGGTTCATGTTCTGTAGTTTCCACATTGGAGTGTTGCTTTTTTAAGACTTCTGAGATACTGCTCCACACCCCATCCCTCTCAGATTTTGGAAGGCACTTCAGATTCTTAAACCTTGGGTCGAATGCTTTAGCTATCTTTAAAAATCTCACACTGGTGAGATTTGCATTTTGCAAATGCATCTTTGCATTTTGTCAGATCTGTGGTGAAAGTGTTCTTAAAACGAACAACATGTGCTGGGGCATCATCCAAGATTGCTAGAACATGAAATATACGGCAGAATGCGGATAAAATGGAGCAGGAGACATACAAGTCTCCCCCAAGGAGTTCAGTCACATTTAATTAACGCATTATTTTTTTAACAAGTGTTATCAGCATGGAAGCATGTCCTCTGGAATGGTGGCCGAAGCATGTAGGGGCATATGAATGTTTAGCATATCTGGAACGTAAATATCTTGCAAAGCCGGCTCCAAAATTGCCTTTTTCTCACTTTCAGCTGACACTGTAAATAAGAAGTGGGCAGCATTAGCTCCTGTAAATGTAAACAAACTTGTTTATCTTAGCAACTGGCTGAACAAGAAGTAGGACTGAGTGGACTTGTAGGCTCAAAAGTTTTATATTGTTTTTGGGGATGCAGTTATGTAACAAAAAATAGATATATTTGTAAATTGCACTTTCACAATAAAGAGATTACACTACAGTACTTGTATGAGGTGAATTCAAAAATACTATTTCTTTTATCATTTTTACAGTGCAAATATTTGTAATAAAAAATAATAATAGACCTCTGGACACTTTGTATTCTGTGTTGTAATTGAAATCAACATATTTGAAAATGTAGAAAAACATCCAAAAATATTTAATACATTTCAATTGTTTAAAGTGTGACTAAAATTGCGATTAATTTTTTTGAACTAATCACGTGTTAACTGCAATTAATCAACGGCCCTTGTTATAACATGTAAAAGTAGAGGGAAACAGCTAGAATATTTTCACAAATGTTTGTATTATGTTTTCAATTACATTTTTCATGTTGTACCAAGCTGCAAAAGTTTAAAGTAATATAGAATGAACTCATAGTCAGTTTGTTTGTTTTGAGGGGACCTGCCAGTTTAGAAATTATCATATTGAAATTATTTCATGACTATCTGATTTCAGTCTTTGCCAAGTTGCGAATATGACAGACATGGAAATGAGGGATAATCTTAACTGGCCAGGCACACCAAAAACAAATAAAACTTAGTGAAAAAATCCATGCCAAGTACTTTTTCTAGTTGTTTTCTTTATTCACAACTCAACTCCAGACCTTCTTATCCCAGATAATCCCAAAACTAGCATTTAACTTTTTATAGCTTTATTTTAACGGTTGCTAGAACCTAATTGCTCTCAATATATATATATACATACACACACACACGTACGTTGCCTAACACATTCCACCACAAAAGATTCTTACAACCCTTTTTTGAGAAGCTTTTATGTTGATGCAGCACACCTTTGAATTGGGGCAGGAGGAAAGCCCTTGGGCTAGAGAAGTCTCTTTTCTTTTGTCCTATGAAATTCCATTTAAGTTTTGCTGAGAGAGAGATTTTTGAAAATTGTCATTTCTCTTCTCTCACTTGCGTTTCCTCAGGAAATTTTTGACAGAATGCCAAAATAATAACTAAAGACAAGCATTCTGAAGTGCTGCTACAACTGCTGCAATACTGATTTTTAAATGCTTTGGAGCCGCAGGAGCAGCTGCGGGACGTGGGGCAGCAAGAGGAATGCTGAGGCAGGCTCTGGCCCCAGCAACCCACATCCCCACTGTGGGGGCACCACATAACAAGAGCTCCCTCGGGTCCTTCCTGGGAGGAAAGGGAAAGACAGTCTGAGCTCTCAACAACAATCCCCTCAAGCATATTCTTCTTCTTTAGGATCACAGTTTTTCCTATCAAATGGTTGAAGTCTGTGCTGCAGGCTGAAGGGTCAGGGTTCAAATGCTGCTGATGATGCATGATTTTGTGTCTGTATGGGAGGTGTTATTACAATTGTACATAATATATTTATTTTCACATTCTTCCTTTTAAGAAAAACATAGGAAACTACATTAAAAATGTTAAGAAAAGGTTGCAAAGGTTGTAAAGACCAACACTTTAAAGTTAAGAAATGCCGCATTTGTGGTTGCCTGTGTAATCTCAAATCTTCTCCCTTGCAAATAAGCATTATGATACAGTGTTTAAGTACATTATTATATAAAGTTTTTTAACAGGACTCCCATCTCATCCAAGGCTTTATCTTGCACCCATTTATTTTCTGTACAGGATCAGGGTTTCAGTGCATAGCATGGATGCACAAAGAGGTAGAATTAAGGTTATATGGGCAACCATAAATCTGGCATTTCCTAATTTTTAGCATTTGACTTTGCACTAAAGTCCAAAATAGTTTTCTTTTAATATAGGTTTTTCAGTATGTACTATAATTTAAAAAATGTTGAAAGTCAATCTTACCTCCAACATCACTATGTGGTCACATCAGATGAAATTGCTGTGTTTTTTATTTTGTTTGGTTATTATTTTGTGATCCTGTAACTTGTTTTTTGTATACATTTTTGTTCAACAGTCCATCTATGGGCACAGGGTTTGCCTGCATGGAATAACCTGCAGGATCTATTGGTTATAGCTATTGGCTATGGCTGTGTGGTATGTTTACCATAAGGGACAGTTTGCATGGCATACGTTGATATCTCTCATTCTTGTCTCAACACCCAACCTAGTCACAAATTTCTGTGATCTGGCCCAAAATTATTTACCATAGTAGCATTCCCTCATATGATTCCTTACATACATGCCAATATATAGACCAAAACACTGTGCACTCTTATTTCAGTGCAGGACCACATTGTGTTTCTTTGTGTAAAAAAGGACATTGCATATCTGGGCCTCTAACATTCACAACAAATCTAGTAAAATTAAATAAAAATATTTTAATTTTTTTAAACAAACACACAATTTGATCCTGCACTGAAATAAGTGCATATAGTGTTTGTTTGAACATTGGCACATATATAGGATCAAACAAAGGACTGCTATTAGGGTAAGTAATTTTGGGCCAAATGACAGAAACTTGTTTTAAAATTGGGGAGGAAACATTTTATAATATGTCCCTATTTTATGCATTGCTTGGATTCTACGAAGAGAAACCTAAGGTTAGGGTCATTCTTTTTGCTCCAGTTCTAAATGCTGGATGCCAGAACTGTCAATGTGGCAGGCTAATAAGTCCAAGACGCTACCACCATACAGAGTAATTGTGAAAATGTGAGGCTCTTATGATGAAAAAGATAATTGATTCCAGAAGATATTACTCCTTTGCCAGATATCTTCACATTGTTACCCTTTGTCAGCTACATTCAAGGAGACAGAATCAAAACCAACCCAAATGTGGCCGACTTCTCAGTGCAACAGAAGTATTCACTTTTGTTTGTTAAAAAAAACTTTGGGGGGGAGAGGTAGATATACTGGAGGGTAGGGATAGGGTCCAGAGTGACCTAGACAAATTGGAGGATTGGGCCAAAAGAAATCTGATGAAGTTCAACAAGGAAAAGTGCAGAGTCCTGCACTTAGGAAGGAAGAATCCCATGTACCGCTACAGGCTGGGGACCGACTGGCTAAGCAGCAGTTCTGCAGAAAAGGACCTGGGGATTACAGTGGATGAGAAGCTGGATAGGAGTCAGCAGTGTGCCCTTGTTGTCAAGAAGGCTAATGGCATGTAAGGCTGCTTTAATAGGAGCATCGCCAGCAGATCGAGGGAAGTGATTATTCCCCTCTATTCGGCACTGGTGAGGCTACATCTGGAGTATTGCCTCCAGTGTTGGGCCCCCCACTACAGAAAGGATGTGGACAAACTGGAGAGAGTCCAGTGGAGGGCAACAAAAATGATCAAGGGGCTGGGACACATGACTTATGAGGAGAGGCTGAGGGAACTGGGCTTGTTTAGTCTGCAGAAGAGAAGAGTGAAGCGGGATTTGATAGCAGCCTTCAACTATGTGAAAGGGGGTTCCAAAGAGGATGTAGCTCGGTTGTTCTCAGTGGTGGCAGATGACAGAACAAGGAGCAATGGTCTCAAATTGTAGTGGGGGAGGTCTATTAGGAAACACTATTTCACTGAATGTATCGGATGAAGTCAGCTGTAGCTCACGAAAGCTTATACTCAAATAAATTTGTCAGTCTCTAAGGTGCCACAAGTACTCCTTTTCTTTTTACTATTTCACTAGGAGGGTGGTGAAGCACTGGAATGGGTTACCTAGGGAGGTGGTGTCTCCATCCTTAAAGGTTTTTAAGGCCCAGTTTGACAAAGCCTTGGCCAACTTGGTGGGATGATTTAGTTGGTGTTGGTCCTGCTTTGAACTGTGGGTTGGACTAGACCTTCTGAGGTCTCTTCCAACCCTAATCTTCTGTGATTATATGATTTTCCCTACAAGAATTCAAAGGAATATGAGCAAAGCATTTATGTAAAACAGGTTTCAATTGCAGTTGTTCCGATTAAACTATTTAAATTTGTCCTTTGCAATTAGATTTATACTAAAGAGGATTTCAGTAAAAATGTATATAAACTCCCAAAATAAGATTTTATTCTCTCTCAACACTTTAGTGTCTTGCTGACAAAGAAATAAGTAATGTAAAAATGTTTTTCTTTTTCTACAGTAACAAACTTAAGAAAAAAGGAGAACAGCATATTAAGGAAGCTAAGCTAAAAATTGATTTACAAGCTACTGTATGCTTTCATTACTGATGGATGCATTAATAAATGCTCCATAGTGCTTTCATGCCATACTTTGTATATTCCTTTCCTACAATCAGGTAATACAATTTGACATTAACAAAATCCTGTTCTTGGGATTTTCTTCTTTGATATTTAAGTTACTGAAATGCTTATTTAAAAAACAAAACAACCACTGAAGAGCCAAGAGGGAGTCTAATACCTTGAGGCACTTTGAAAATCTCAGCATTGGAGAATATCTATGGATTTGATGACCTTAAGAAATTTATTTTGACATAGACAATTATTGAACTACTCTCACTTGAGCCTGGCAAAAAACCCTCTTTCAGTAGTTTTACTTTGAAATTTATATAAACCCTCTGCTGTTTTGATAAGGAACAAATCTGCTTTAACTGCATCTGTATTAATTACAACGTTCTTTATATTTCAGATTACTTTAGATAACTCTGACTTAAAATGTATGACTCTGTATATCATCATAGATGCTTATATACTACTCTCCTGATTGTGCTTTCTCTATTTGATCCTTTATATCATGCTCTGGGGACTCAATTACTGTATACAATTATCACCAACCGTGCTAGTTAGATATTTTTTACAGTGCCCAAATGCTAAGCCAGAGGTGGTGCCTGAAGCCTACCTAGGGAGCAAGAGGAGTTTAAGAGCATATGAGCCAAGCATGTGGGTCTAAACATAGCAGCCTGTTGTGTGTCCAGCCTGATCATCAATTTGCAATCTGCCCGAGAGTAAAGGGCAGAGTTGTTGCAGGCAGGAACCCAAGAGGGAGTCTGTAACTCAAGGAGTCACAATCTATTGCCCCTCCTCCCTGCTACTCCTGTGAGGAAGTAAACTGTGATGGGTCAGTCTATCTATACTTGTTGCAGCATATACTCCCCATGCCCTTGCATACCTAGACTGCTGGGCACACTGAGACAAGGCTCCACTGCTCCTTCACCCATCTGTGTGAGTGGAGACTGCTGCAGCTCTGTGGAGACTGTTTATCCACATATGCAGCAATCAGTGGTACAGCACACTTGCGCTAAGAAGGAAAACAGCACTTTATGCCTCCTTACTTGTTGCCCGAGCATACAGAATAAGACACAATCTGACCCTATATAATTAAAGATATATTTACAACTTATTTAAAAAATATAGTACAGGTAGCCATTAATTTTAGGAAATAAAAAATGATAATCATTCATATTTTGCTTGCTCTATCATCGGAATCAAATGTCTGATGATGGAAAAAGGTATTTTTACCAATTTTTTTATTGGTATGTATTAATCTAAAAAGATGATTTCCTGGCAAAAAGTCACATCGCAGATCTACAAGGAATCAAAATCATTAATTGATCTGTTAGGAAAGTTGACAAAATGTCCAGGAGGTAAGCGGTCTTAAAAAGCATTGTGAACTTTGCAATTTTTTTGATATTAGCCTTCTGAAAAAATATCTGAATAGGTTTATAAAATAAAGGTGATATGAAATAATGTAACAAATGAGGATGGATTTCAATTTTGCTAAATTTTATAAATTAAATAAACTAGAAAAAATGGTTAGGTACACCGATGACAAAACAAGGAATTAAATTTTCTGGAGACTTTAAATCTGTGAATCAGATGGGAGTCTTGGGTACTCTCCCCTCAAAAACATTTCCAAAATATGTACAATTTGGATCCTTTTAAACAGCATATCTTCTCCTATGCCCAAACCACATGACCTTCTCCCCCTTTTTACTTTCGCTTGCTCTTGTGCCGGCTGGTTTTTACAGTTCTTTGCTAGTGAAAACAATTTTTGCCACTCTAATTCCTCAACTTTTAAGACTTTCCCGTAGCAAATATAGACAGGATGAGACTACTGTTAGAGTTTGTAAATATTCATGTATCTGGGGGTTTTCTATAGGACCCATCACTGCAGTATTTAAGGGCCAGATTTTTAAAGGTAGTTAGGTGCCTAAAGAGGCAGACAGACACAGAATAGTATTTTCAAAAGCACTTCCAATCAGACTTAGCCACTTCATCATTTTAGAAAATCCCACTAGGTGCCTAACTAGCTAAATTTAGTCCTAAATCCTTGTCATTGCCAGGGAAGTAGGACTGAGACACCTCTGTAGCACTATTAAAATGGATATTTGCCCACATTTTACATTTTTTAAAATCTACTTTATCTGTTTTATCAGACTTTCTCTGGGTGGAAGGGGTGAGCGAGGCGGGGGTTGTAGTGGGAATGTCTGAGATTGAGACAGTTTAAAATTATTGGTATGGTCCAATTTATATGGGATTTTAAGGAGTTGGGTGCACTTTAAATGAATAAGTTAAATAAATATCAATTTTCAATACTTGTAAAAATGTGTCTCTCACCTGATGGAAAAGTGGACAATGTGTTATGGGGATTCCTAAACCACTGAAACACATTCCAAGGACCATATCGTCTGGAGCATCATTGCTGTAACACTGGCATTTACTAGCAAGTAGTTTTTGGATTGCTTCTCTGCTGAAAACCATCCTAAACAATAAAAGCAAACAGAAAGTATGAGACACTCATTAGCAATATAGTTGAATAACTGTATTCCATTTCCATTTATTAAGTCTTGCTCAGTGGAATAAAATCACAACATGGAATGTAGTCCACTGGTGTACAGTATTTGGGAAACTGAAAGATGTGAGAAGACAGCATTCAGGCTTGAATTCTTAATGAGGATTTTTCTGAGACATATTTATTCTAAATAGTAAGATCAAATTATGATGTGATTTATTTAATTACACAAAATCTTAATTACCCAACATTTTACTTGCTAGTGATCCTTACTTGTCCCTTACCTCCACACATTATTTCTTGATGCAGGGTGAGGGGAGAACTCCGTTTGGAGGAATGGCGAGTATACATAGGACATATAGAGTATTCAGAAATCCTGTACTTACATAATTTAGTCTTTTGTTTGAAGCTGTGTGTGTTTTTATATGAACTAAATACTCATCTCTTTTTCCCTCCTCTAAAACTATCTAATAATAATGCAATTATAAAAAGTATTTAATGAAGTATCCTTAAATGGCAGCTGCTGTGTAGACTCTGATACATCCAATACAAAATTCAAGGAATAAGTTTTGAATATTGTCAGGATCACTGTTGTTAAAGGCTTTAGAAACAGCAGTGCCAATTTAAGGTCAATCTGGCAGGCAAACAGGAAAAAGAATAGAGCACAGGCAAAATATAATCATGACCAGTCATGTTGCTGTATTCTGATCAAGCTGCAGGCAAAGGAGCAACTACACTGAGAACCTTGAAAAAAGGGAGTTAAAATAACCATGCCTTGTGACTGGAATAGCATGTGTTGCTGTTGAAAAGTTGTCATAGAAGAATAAAGTAAATAGTATAAAGTTAGCAAATTTAAAAACCCACTCACTACTTGATAACAGAAAGGGCATGGTCAAAGTGATACAAGATCTTTAACTTTACTCACTACCTCCCAAGAAACATCCTCAACAATAAACAGGGATATGAAGGAGAAGTGAGCTATCTTATATACATATCTTCACAGACCTGAGTATCAGAAAGCTCTGATGCTTCTCGAAGGTACAGAAAAACAATATTGCAGAACAAACAATAGAAAATATAAAAAAAATCTGTTGGCAATTGGCAAGCACTCCAGCGTCAAAAGATGGTTTCTTAAGAAAGGGGTAAACTCTGCATAATTAAGAATGAAAGGCATATTCCCACACTATGCAAGACAATGAAAATGCCAGCCAGTTGGTATTATTTATTTATGGACACATGAACAGTTTACTGAGTTAGTATAATATTTATTTTTTTCCTGGAGAATACCAATTTTATGTGTTTTAAGGGCATTCAGAGCATGGGACTGAATAATGGATCAAAATAGAATAATGGATCTACAACTATCCAACAAACAAAATGGACAGAGATCAGAACCACAGGTGATGGGTCTCACTAATGTTATTTGGGTCAACCTAGAAGGTAATGGATATATTACAAATCATTCACCAGATCCACTGGGAAACTATAGTTCTCAACCATAAGGACTAGACAATCTATCTGCAGTGATCTCTCTACATGAGAAACTATCTTCCATTGGTACCAACACTAAAGAACTCGCTCACCTACCTCTTCAGAACATGAGTTAAAAAAACAAAAGGGAGACAATCACTTTCACTCACACCCTAGACAAACAAAGAGGGAGAGGGATGCTCCCTCAACAAAGGCAATAACTGTGTTCCAAGGCCCCCCTCCTTTTACTGCCACTACATTATATCATGTTTCAGAGTAACAGCCGTGTTAGTCTGTATTCGCGAAAAGAAAAGGAGTACTTGGGGCACCTTAGAGACTAATGAATTTATTTGAGCATAAGCTTTTGTGAGCTACAGCTCACTTCATCGGATGCATACTGTGGAAAGTATAGAAGATCTTTTTATACACACAAATCATGAAAAAATGGGTGTTTACCCCTACAAAAGGTTTTCTCTCCCCCACCCCCACTCTCCTGCTGGTAATAGCTTATCAAAAGGGATCACTCTCCTTACAATGTGTATGATAATCAAGGTGGGCCATTTCCAGCACAAATCCAGGGTTTAACAAGAACGTCTGGGGGGGGGCGAGGGGGGGTAGAAAAAACAAGGGGAAATAGGTTATTTCCCCTTGTTTTTTCCTACCCCCCCGCCCCCTCCTCAGACTTTCTTGTTAAACCCTGGATTTGTGCTGGAAATGGCCCACCTTGATTATCATACACATTGTAAGGAGAGTGATCACTTTAGATAAGCTATTACCAACAGGAGAGTGGGTTTGGGGCGGGGAGGGGAGGTTGAGAGAAAACCTGGATTTGTGCTGGAAATGGCCCAACTTGATTATCATACACATTGTAAGGAGAGTGATCACTTTAGATAAGTGGGGTGGGCGGAGAGAAAACCTTTTGTAGGGGTAAACACCCATTTTTTCATGGTTTGTGTGTATAAAAAGATCTTCTATACTTTCCACAGTATGCATCCGATGAAGTGAGCTGTAGCTCACGAAAGCTTATGCTCAAATAAATTGGTTAGTCTCTAAGGTGCCACAAGTACTCCTTTTCTTTTTACATTATATCATGTGATAAAACAACATTATTCTTGTCACCTCTTTGTTATCTCTAATATTCCAAAACATTTGCATTGGAGGAGTGAGTGGTTTAGTCAGCTCTCAGTAGGATTTGAAATAAAGTAAGTTACCCTCCTCCGCCAGTGATATAACTATATCCTCCTGTTCCCAATCCGTAGCCATAACGCTCTCCAAGAAACACTGGTTCATTTGGGTCATAGCAGCTGAGTAATTTCCGGAGCCTAAAGATACTAAAATGAGAGTCCATTTTATTAAAAATATATGAAATCAGATATAGACAGGCAATCTGAACTTGGTAATGGAAGTTTAAAGCTAATTAGGCCATTTCCTTTGAAAAATAATTCATAATACTTCAAATGATTAACTAGATTGTTCATGAAACATTTATCAAAAGAAACAATTAGTTCTGCAGCAACACTGAGTCTTCAATTTTAAAGTATACTTGGATTTTTCCAGACTACACTGAAAGAAGGGTGGAGAGGCAGAATTTTCGAAGACTGAAAGGCTAACAGAGTACTGCAGTGATCTGTACCAAAATTGGCCTTATTTTTATTATTGTTATTTATATGACAGTAACAACAAGAGTCCTAAGTAGGATCAGGATCCCAAAGCAAAGACAGTCCTTGCTTGGGCCTCTTCATGCTACTCTAAAGTGATTTTACAGCTAAACTAACACAAATTGCAAAAAGGGTGCTCTAGCTCAGTGGTTCTCAACTCTTAGAATCATAGAATATCAGGGTTGGAAGGGACCTCAGGAGGTCATCTAGTCCAACCCCCAGCTCAAAGCAAGACCAATCCCCAATTTTTGCCCTGATCCCTAAATGGCTCCCTTAAGGATTGAACTCACAACCTTGGGTTTAGCAGGCTAATGCTCAAACCACTGAGCTATCCCTCCCTCCCTTTTCTTCCACACTACTTTACCCCTTTCAGGAGTCTGATTTGTCTTGTGTACCCCAAGTTTATCTCATTTACAAACTATTTGCTTGCAAAATCAGACATAGCAATACAAAAGTGTCACAGAACACTATTACTGAAAAATTGCTTACTTTCTCAGTTTGTTTGTACGATATTTTAGTTTGTACTGACTTCACTAGTGCTTTTTTATGTAGCCTGTTGTAAAACTAGGCAAATATCTAGATGAGCTGATGTGCCCCTTAGAAGACCTCTGTTTACCCCCAGGGGTATGCAGACCCCTGGTTGAGAACCACTGCTCTAGTTCAACCACAAACTATGGACAGGAATCATTGCATGTGTGTACATATACAAACATTCCATATTTTTTTCTTTTAAAAAAAATAATCTGATCCTATTGTTTTAAAAGCTGTTCCCCTGACCTTTCAAATGGCAGATTCAATACCTTTATGCACAATGGGTAGCGCTTTGCTCCATATGTATGGTGTAAGGTACTATTAAACACTAAATAATCTGGTTCTAAACCTGTTTACTACTATTTTTCTTTTTAAACCTCTATTTCTACTTCTTTTTATAACCTCTATTTCCATACTTTATATGCAATATCTTTATACTTTTGAACTACTCCTTTATCTCTTAAAACTGGTTGTGATGTATCCCACAAAGTACTTAGAGAAAAGAGATACCTTTAACAGCTTCATAAATCATTTCAAAATTGCTATAAAGGCAGAATAATTACATCTGGATTTTGTAACTGAATTATTCATTCTCTAAACCAGAGTCGGAATCTCTCTTGTCAAATGATTTATCATCAACACAGGTAACAAACTGGAACACTTGTTAAAATTCTTACTTCACTATATCCTCCCCCAAAACATTAATGCAGTCTTTGGATAATAGCTTCATTGATCATAGTGTACTCATACCATATAGAATTAAGATTTCAATAGCTATCTATTAGCTATAATTAAATTCTCTTCCTTTTTTAATTCCCGTCCTTTCTTTTGTTCAGTCAAAAAGAATGAGGAATTATGTGATTTTTTTTTTACAGTAATCTCCAAAGTAATGAGCATCAGTTTTTGTGATCTGGTATGGAAAATATGCTGAGAAATTACTATAGTACAGATGATGGTAGGTGCTATCAAACTAGTTCCTTGCAATGTAAATGGGGTAAAAATTCAACTTTATTATGCAATCTAAGAGTCACTTAAATCAGTACCATTAAAAACTAGCCATCTTTTGTTACAATTTTTCAGTCTAGTCCACTGTTTCCAGTCGGAAGGGTAAAATTATTATCGACATGTAATCTTCAGTTTACCAGGATACCAAATAATAAATCAACTCCTAACACTCGACTGATTTTTATTGGGGCTGTGACAAACTTATTTTTTCTGATTTTCAATTCTCATCACTAGGTTATAGCAATCTTGTTATTTTTATAATCCATATATTTCTCTTTCCTATACAGAGTCTGTAGAATGTCTCCTTTTCCTTGTATGGTAACTGGCAAATTCAGCTGTAACAAACTCATTACTTATAGCGAGCCCTTCGCAAATTCCTCTTTTGTCATATGATTTACCTTAAGAATGTTGTTGTTGTCTTGACCCATTTTTCCTCATGTTCAGGGGCCCATGATGCTGATATCTGATTACTTTGTCCTGTTCTCTTGTATCTCAGTGTCACAGAAGCAATGTAAGTTCATTTTCTATCTCAACAAGCGCCAATTGTTACAGATTCACCATCTTTCAACATGCTGATCTAATTTTCTGCTACATGTATCAAATCCAATTTTAATCAGAACTTTTGAGTCATGCTTCTTAATTGGTTCAATCTTATCCTGGATTTCTTTTTTTGAAATGTAATAGCTAAGGCTAAGATTTTGGTCATGGTTATTTTTACTAAAAGTCATGGATAGGTCACGGGCAATATACAAAAATTCACGGAAGCTGTGACCTTTCTGTGACTTTTCCTACTGCGGCTACATGGTTTCCCCCACCAATGTGGTAACTGGGAGCTGTGGGGTTCCCACTGTGCCCGAGGCAGGGTGACCATATTTCCCAAAGAGAAAATGGGACACCCACAATCGCTCGCTCAAGGCGCCCCCCACGCAAGACTGTTGCCCACTGCCGGAACCCTGAGGAGGGCCCCCTCTGGAGGCTGTTGCCTGTTGCTGGAACCGTGCAGGGGGCCTCATAAGGAGGCTCTTGCCTGTCACTGGAAGCCTCCCAGGGCCCTGCTGGCTGTCAGCTCCAGTCCCTCAGCCCCTGAGGCTGAAGCAGAGAATATCAGGGTGGCCTCTGGAAGTCACGGATTCCATGACTTCTGTGACTTCCATGACCTAAACATAGCCTTAGTAATAGCACACTGACCCTGCTACTTGCTAAGCTTCATTTAATTAGGCATGAACTGTCCAAAAGTTGGAATTTTTGGTTCATGGGAATTTTTGATATTTTGAAATCTGGTTTCAGTCTAATTTGAGAATTACACATGAACTGAGGAGTCTGAAACATTTTATTTGAAAACGTGTTTCTGAACAAAAAATGCTTCCTATGACCTTGGCAAATGCTGGGTGAAACAGACATTCTTGTCAGTTTCACTACTACCTACCACTGAACAGGAGAGGTGAAACTGACAATAATTGTATCAATTTTTCAATTTGTAGTTGCTGGACCTTCTAGGGTCTATAGCGCCTGGACAGACCCACTATGCAGATTGTCTTGAGCTGGGGCTTCAGAGCTTCCAGACTGCTGGATCAGCTGGCTCCCTAAACTCTCTGGGCAGTCCGTACCAGGACTTCCAGGCTCCTGACCCAAGGCACTGAACCTGGAAGCCCCTAGAGCCTGAGGCTCCTTCTATCAAGTTGGGAGCTGAGCCCTGTTAGAACCTGGGTCCCAGGACTTCTAGGCTCCCAGCTTCATGGTGGCCTGGAAGCCCTGAGACATGGTGGGATTGCCCCACAGCTGCAGATCCTGGAAGCACTGGGTTTTTTGGAGCAGGTCGCAGGGCAGGGCTGCTCCCGAGCTACAAACCCTGGAGTCCCTGGCTCTGGGGCAGTCCACTGACTCTAAAAGCCCAGGCTCCCCAGCAGCCCCAGGAAACCACACAAGGTTCTGATAGAAGCCTGCCTGTGGTTCAACATAAGGTTGTTAAACTCAAGGTGTTCTGCAAAACACTTTGGGTTCGACAATTCTATGTCCCCAATTCTACTTTGGGTTCGACAATTCGCCTTCTATGATGAGATTACTGGTTCTGTGGATGAAGGGAAAGCAGTGGATGTATTGTTTCTTGACTTTAGCAAAGCTTTTGACATGGTCTCCCACAGTATTCTTGTCAGCAAGTTAAAGAAGTACGGGCTGGATGAATGCACTATAAGGTGGGTAGAAAGTTGGCTAGATTGTCGGGCTCAACGGGTAGTGATCAATGGCTCCATGTCTAGTTGGCAGCCGGTGTCAAGTGGAGTGCCCCAGGGGTCGGTCCTGGGGCCGGTTTTGTTCAATATCTTCATAAATGATCTGGCGGATGGTGTGGATTGCACTCTCAGCAAATTTGCGGATGATACTAAACTGGGAGGAGTGGTAGATACGCTGGAGGGCAGGGATAGGATACAGAGGGACCTAGACAAATTGGAGGATTGGGCCAAAAGAAATCTGATGAGGTTCAGTAAGGATAAGTGCAGGGTCCTGCACTTAGGACGGAAGAACCCAATGCACAGCTACAGACTAGGGACCAAATGGCTAGGCAGCAGTTCTGCGGAAAAGGACCTAGGGGTGACAGTGGACGAGAAGCTGGATATGAGTCAGCAGTGTGCCCTTGTTGCCAAGAAGGCCAATGGCATTTTGGGATGTATAAGTAGGGGCATAGCGAGCAGATCGAGGGACGTGATCGTCCCCCTCTATTCGACATTGGTGAGGCCTCATCTGGAGTACTGTGTCCAGTTTTGGGCCCCACACTACAAGAAGGATGTGGATAAATTGGAGAGAGTCCAGCGAAGGGCAACAAAAATGATTAGGGGTCTGGAACACATGACTTATGAGGAGAGGCTGAGGGAACTGGGATTGTTTAGTCTGCAGAAGAGAAGAATGAGGGGGGATTTGACAGCTGCTTTCAACTACCTGAGAGGTGGTTCCAGAGAGGATGGTTCTAGACTATTCTCAGTGGTAGAAGAGGACAGGACAAGGAGTAATGGTCTCAAGTTGCAGTGGGGGAGGTTTAGGTTGGATATTAGGAAAAACTTTTTCATTAGGAGGGTGGTGAAACACTGGAATGCGTTACCTAGGGAGGTGGTAGAATCTCCTTCCTTAGAGGTTTTTAAGGTCAGGCTTGACAAAGCCTTGGCTGGGATGATTTAATTGGGGATTAGTCCTACTTGGAGCAGGGGGTTGGACTAGATGACCTCCTGAGGTCCCTTCCAACCCTGATATTCTATGAATTTGTATTTTTCGATGAAACAGGAAATTTAATTTATTCCTCATTCATCACTGTGGGATCACCATTACTCCATGTCAGTTCTTCAGCATTAATTTCCCTTCAAAATGTGTTGAATGTAAAGTAGTAAATGTGTATTTTTCCGCTTCTGCATGACTATTCAAATTACCGACTTGATATTTCTTTGAAAGCAATAACAAAATATACTTTACTAATCTACTTTGAAAGAGACATACAGTAAACATTTCTAGGGCTTTTCTTTTTTAGAAAATTAGATTCTAGGTTCGAACATGACAATTTCCTAACAAAGCCAAGCCCTAGACATAGGTATGGTTGGCTGTTAGGACTAAGCATGGGTTTGGAGCCCTCATCCTCTGGGATCTACTCCACATCAGGAAAATGCACTGTATTAGAAAATGTGTTAACTTAAAGTTAGTCACAACCAGCTAATGCCTTATATGCTCTTTTATCAACAGATTGCAACGTATGACTGTCACATTTTCAAAGTAGTGACAGATTATTATGTGTATAAATTATTTGTTATAGGAGATTTTATAAGAGTAAACTGTATTTTTAAAAGGAATCCAGGAATATATGGAGCAAAAGATAGTGCTCCTATTTATTGGAGTATAAATAAAAATAAATATTTCTAAAACTCTTATTAATACAAATTAAGAGCATTTCTGAAATACTGTAATTTGTACCTTATTAAGGTGTCATCATCCACAATGACTAACCATGGTGTTTTGGAAGAGCTGTGATTCAAAAATCTTTCCAAAATGGCAAAAGTCTTCCCACAATGACCTAAAAGGGGAGGAATAAGAGAAAGGACGTACATTGTTTTTGAGAGAGAGAGAGAGAGAGAGAGAGTGCGTGTGTGTGTGTGTGTGTACAATTATTTATAAATTAAACTGAATGATACATTTTACTAGATAATACAGTATTGACCAAGGTGTTGAAACATGTTTTTGCAGATAATGGCAAACTGGCAAAGGAGCCAAGGATCCAAATTTCAATTTGTATTGTAGAGAGTGCTTTCAATTTGGATGTGATCCCCAAGAGGCTGCTTTCTATGATGCAATGTGGCCTACAGAGTAGGGCACTAGACTATGATTCCAGACATCTGGGTTCTATTCCCTAGTCTACCACTGGCCTGCTGGGGGATTTGTTTTAGATTTGTTTTTTTAAGACTTGAGTAGGCACAACCAACCAATGGAATAATCAAATGTATAGGCATTAACTCAGATTAAATCATGGCTCCTGATAGCTTCTTAGCAAAAGATTTAGAATTTAATACAAAGCAATGTTTTACAGCTGGTAAGTGAGATGTTCTTGATTAGAATCAAAATGGCAAGAGAAATAAAGTGTCATACAAGCTTAGTTAAAGCTAAAAATGTCTTCCAGGAAGATCAAACTGTAAACCACTAATACTCACTAAAAATCACTTGTGTTCAGGAGAGATATTTCAGAAGCATTTCAGAAGCAATTAACACTATGAATGTGTCTTGTAATAAATAAATAAGATTGAGGTATTATAGTTGGGATTTTTTTCAACAAAAACATTTTTTGACACACAGCAGAATATTTTTGGTTAAAAACTTCTCTTTTCTTTCCTCCTGGCATTGAGAACCTCTATTTATCTTTACTTGTTTTTTGAAGCCATTAACATAATAAAAATGGATTTACAGCAAATGTTTCCAGTTCTATGCTATCCAGTGAAGAGAAATGCCTTCTTTCACACACTTCACTTGGTGTAAGAAAATGAGAATGAACAAACCACTGAAGCCATAGTATCGAAGGCTTTTTTCTATTCAAGGGCACCCTAAATTATTACTTTAAACTACTATGTTACATGCTCAGAGAAAATACTGTTTGATTTTTCCATTTAGTTTTAATGTTTAAAAACACAGGTGTACTAGATGTAGGCACATATTACTTTCAGAGTAGCAGCCGTGTTAGTCTGTATTCGCAAAAAGAAAAGGAGGACTAGTGGCACCTTAGAGACTAACCAATTGGTGCCACTAGTACTCCTTTTCTTTTTACATATTACTTTGAAACCATTTTGTAAGTGCTTCATGCTACAGCAACCAGTTGACATCATATAAGGTCTTCTGTTATGAATGTATCATTCTGACACTGCTACTGTAACAACCTTATTTGAGCATAAGCTTTCGTGAGCTGTATCTCACAAAAGCTTATGCTCAAATAAATTTGTTAGTCTCTAAGGTGCCACATGTACTCCTTTTCTTTTTGCGGATACAGATGAACACGGCTGCTACTCTGAAACCTTTAACAACCTTGTTCATCACAAGACTGACAGAATAGTGGTGGCAGAAGGAAACATTTCAACAGGCAGAAAACTGTCCACTCAGGCATTTGTCCTGTGTCCACTTCCATAGTAGCTAGGCACCAAATCATAAGAAAATGATTCTGTCCAAAGGAACTGTATTCTCCCACCTTCTCTTGTTTTGTGTGGTTAGTAGGAAGAATTTTTAGTTTATTTTTACTTCCAGGGGACTGTGTAACAAAAATGTAATACTTCAGCATAACTTACTATACACTGAATAGACATTTCACCTTGAAAACTTATCATACTCATACAATGAAACTTTCTGCAAAGATAATATTAGAAGCTTACCTCTTTCAGTATTAGGTACTCCTAAATCTATAGTAGGAATGGAGGTCTCTGCATAATCACTATAATATTCAACAACGGCAGCCTCACCTTCCCAGGTCTGCTTTACAATCGGTACTGCAAAATAATTAGTCATATTGAAACATAAGAATGGCCATACTAGGTCAGACCAATGGTCCATCTAGTCTAGTATCCTGTCTTCTGACAGTGGCCAATGCCAAGGTGCTTCAGAGAGAATGAACCAGGCAGTCATCAAGTGATCCATGCCCTGTTGTACACTTGCAGCATTTGGCAGTCGGAGGCTAACGACACTCGCAGCATGGGGTTGCATGCCTGACCTTCTTGCCTAATAGCCATTGACCTATCCTCCATGAACTTACCTAATTCTTTTTTAAATCCAGTCATAATTTTGGCCTTCACAACATCCCCTGGCAATGAGTTCCACAGGTTTACTGTGCCGTGTGTGAAGAAGTCAGTCCTTTTTGTTTGTTTTAAATCTGCTGAATATTAATTTCATTGGATGACCACTTGTTCTTGTGTTATGTGAAGGAGGAAACAGCACTTCCTTATTCACTTTTTCCACACCATTCATGACTTTATAGACCTCTATCATATTCCCCCCAACTTAGTTGTCTCTTTTCCAAGCTGAAAAGTCCCTGTCTTTTTAATTTCTCCTCAGAGGAAAGCTGTTCCATATCTTTAATCATTTTTGTTGCCATTCTCTGTACCTTTTCCTATTCTAATATATTTTTTTGAGATGGGGCAACTAGAAGTGCACACAATATTCAAGGTGTGGGCATACCATAGATTTATATAGTGGCATTATGCTATTTACTATCTTATTTTCTATCCCTTTCCAAATGGTTCCTAACATTCTGTTAGCTTTTTTCACTGCAATGCACACTGAGTGGATGTTTTCAGAAAATTATCTATGATAATCCGCCAAGATCTTTCTTGACTGGTAACAGCTAATTTAGAAACATAAGTAGCTACTGTTTATTTAAATGGCTGTATTGACCAAATTAAAACAAACAAAGTGCTTTGCAGCGAGGCCAAAGGCAAAGTGGAAAAACACTGCTTGGAAAGTTTTAGTTACATACATTGCTTATGCTGCAAGTATAGCTCCACCTAAAAGGAATGGAATTATACTGAAAATTTGCAAAACTGAGCTCTCTCAAAACAGAGCTATTAACCAGGAATGTAAATAAAGAAATAAAAGAGATAACCTAATCGCGTCTTCCTAGACATTTCCTGATCTACTTACATATCTGGGGTTTCAAATGAGTAGTTTTTCTAGGTATGATACAGATGATTTTTCATACCTGGCCCAAAGCTTCTTACAGCATTGCTGCTCTGTTCCCCTCTCCCCAGGAGAACAACACAGACAGACAAAAGAGGAGTCTTGTTTCAATTTTAAAAAGTTCTAGCCTTCCCATTGGCTCTTTTGGCCAGATGCCCAGTCACTTCCTTTTACCTATACATAGCAGAGAGACTTTTTAACCCTTTACAGGTAAAACAAGTAGAGAACAGCTACTAAGAGGGATTTTATAGCTAGCTGGCTGGCTGGGTGTCCATAAAAGGGAGCAAGCCCCTCTCCCCTTCATTTACCACAAATGTTCAAAACAAAGATAAGAAACTGTTGCAAATCTCTGTCCTGATTATGTGCAGGGTTTGTGTAAAGAGTGTTAAACGTGTGTCTTACAAACTATGCCCCATCTACCAGGTACAGACCATTATGGGCATCACTTTGGCTTTGAAAACACGTCAAACAATATATATAAGAAAGATGTATTAGATTTAAAAAGAAAAGGAGTACTTGTGGCACCTTAGAGACTAACCAATTTATTTGAGCATGAGCTTTCGTGAGCTACAGCTCACTTCATCGGATGCATGCCGTGGAAACTGCAGCAGACTTTATTTATACACAGAGAATATGAAAAAATACCTCCTCCCACCCCACTGTCCTGCTGGTAATAGCTTATCTAAAGTGATCATCAGGTGGGCCATTTCCAGCACAAATCCAGGTTTTCTCACCCTCCACCCCCCCACACAAATTCACTCTCCTGCTGGTGATAGCCCATCCAAAGTGACAACTCTTTACACAATGTGCATGATAATAAAGTTGGGCCATTTCCTGCACAAATCCAGGTTCTCTCACCCCCTCACCCCCCTCCCAAAAACCACACACACAAACTCACTATCCTGCTGGTAATAGCTCATCCAAAGTGACCATTCTCCCTACAATGTGCATAATTAAGGTGGGACATTTCCAGCACAAATCCAGGTTTTCTCACATCCCCCCCACCCCCATACACACACAAACTCACTCTCCTGCTGGTAATAGCTCATCCAAACTGACCACTCTCCAAGTTTAAATCCAAGTTAAACCAGAACATCTGGGGGGGTGGTGGTAGGAAAAAACAAGAGGAAATAGGCTACCTTGCATAATGACTTAGCCACTCCCAGTCTCTATTTAAGCCTAAATTAATAGTATCCAATTTGCAAATGAATTCCAATTCAGCAGTTTCTCGCTGGAGTCTGGATTTGAAGTTTTTTTGTTTTAAGATAGCGACCTTCATGTCTGTGATTGCGTGACCAGAGAGATTGAAGTGTTCTCCGACTGGTTTATGAATGTTATAATTCTTGACATCTGATTTGTGTCCATTTATTCTTTTACGTAGAGACTGTCCAGTTTGACCAATGTACATGGCAGAGGGGCATTGCTGGCACATGATGGCATATATCACATTGGTGGATGTGCAGGTATACGAGCCTGAAACCTGTCATTAGATTTAAAGTAATTCAAAGAAATTGTGAAATCTTCTGTTTGTTGAAAACATCCCGGAGGGGTTAGGCTCCTAACTTTGAGACAGCCGACCAGCTGCATTGTGGTGTCCCGGACTGGTTGACCGCATATTGGCCTTCCTTTCTGTATTATGCCGTTTGTTTTGTCTTTTACTCGTAAATTGATTAAACCTATGTTATTTGACATCTCGTGTTATAAACTAAATCGAACCCATAACAGTTGGATGCCTGGTAGCTGATATATTCAGTGGCATGGTAATGAAAATGCAGCCTCTAAATAAAGCATCATGACCCTAACAGGTTTCAGAGGAACAGCCGTGTTAGTCTGTATTCGCAAAAAGAAAAGGAGTACTTGTGGCACCTTAGAGACTAACCAATTTATTTGAGCATGAGCTTTCGTGAGCTACAGCTCACTTCATCAGATGTTTACCGTGGAAACTGCAGCAGACTTTATATACACACAGAGAATATGAAACAATACCTCCTCCCACCCCACTGTCCTGCTGGTAATAGCTTATCTAAAGTGATCAACAGGTGGGCCATTTCCAGCACAAATCCAGGTTTTCTCACCCTCCACCCCCCCACACAAATTCACTCTCCTGCTGGTGCTAGCCCATCCAAAGTGACAACTCTTTACATAATCAAGTCGGGCTATTTCCTGCATAGATCCAGGTTTTCTCACATCTCCCCCACCCCCATACACACACAAACTCACTCTCCTGCTGGTAATAGCTCATCTAAACTGACCACTCTCCAAGTTTAAATCCAAGTTAAACCAGAACATCTGGTGGGGGGGGGGGGTAGGAAAAAACAAGAGGAAACAGGCTACCTTGCATAATGACTTAGCCACTCCCAGTCTCTATTTAAGCCTAAATTAATAGTATCCAATTTGCAAATGAATTCCAATTCAGCAGTTTCTCGCTGGAGTCTGGATTTGAAGTTTTTTTGTTTTAAGATAGCGACCTTCATGTCTGTGATTGCGTGACCAGAGAGATTGAAGTGTTCTCCGACTGGTTTATGAATGTTATAATTCTTGACATCTGATTTGTGTCCATTTATTCTTTTACGTAGAGACTGTCCAGTTTGACCAATGTACATGGCAGAGGGGCATTGCTGGCACATGATGGCATATATCACATTGGTGGATGTGCAGGTGAACGAGCCTCTGATAGTGTGGCTGATGTTATTAGGCCCTGTGATGGTGTCCCCTGAATAGACATGTGGGCACAATTGGCAACGGGCTTTGTTGCAAGGATAAGTTCCTGGGTTAGTGGTTCTGTTGTGTGGTATGTGGTTGTTGGTGAGTATTTGCTTCAGGTTGCGGGGCTGTCTGTAGGCAAGGACTGGCCTGTCTCCCAAGACTTGTGAGAGTGTTGGGTCATCCTTTAGGATAGGTTGTAGATCCTTAATAATGCGTTGGAGGGGTTTTAGTTGGGGGCTGAAGGTGACTGCTAGTGGCGTTCTGTTATTTTCTTTGTTAGGCCTGTCCTGTAGTAGGTAACTTCTGGGAACTCTTCTGGCTCTATCAATCTGTTTCTTTACTTCTGCAGGTGGGTATTGTAGTTGTAAGAAAGCTTGACAGAGATCTTGTAGGTGTTTGTCTCTGTCTGAGGGGTTGGAGCAAATGCGGTTGTATCGCAGAGCTTGGCTGTAGACGATGGATCGTGTGGTGTGGTCAGGGTGAAAGCTGGAGGCATGCAGGTAGGAATAGCGGTCAGTAGGTTTCCGGTATAGGGTGGTGTTTATGTGGCCATTGTTTATTAGCACTGTAGTGTCCAGGAAGTGGATCTCTTGTGTGGACTGGACCAGGCTGAGGTTGGTGGTGGGATGGAAATTGTTGAAATCATGGTGGAATTCCTCAAGGGCTTCTTTTCCATGGGTCCAGATGATGAAGATGTCATCAATATAGCGCAAGTAGAGTAGGGGCTTTAGGGGACGAGAGCTGAGGAAGCGTTGTTCTAACATTTTTATGGCTGATTTAGAACAACGCTTCCTCAGCTCTCGTCCCCTAAAGCCCCTACTCTACTTGCGCTATATTGATGACATCTTCATCATCTGGACCCATGGAAAAGAAGCCCTTGAGGAATTCCACCATGATTTCAACAATTTCCATCCCACCACCAACCTCAGCCTGGTCCAGTCCACACAAGAGATCCACTTCCTGGACACTACAGTGCTAATAAACAATGGCCACATAAACACCACCCTATACCGGAAACCTACTGACCGCTATTCCTACCTGCATGCCTCCAGCTTTCACCCTGACCACACCACACGATCCATCGTCTACAGCCAAGCTCTGCGATACAACC